AAATACATAATGTGGAACCTCCACCCCCTCAACCCCCCCTCATGGTGGTAAAGACAAGCCACAGTGGAGGCTAAAACATCTAGATATGATATTCTGCTTCCTAGCAGTGATGTTAGCTGTCTGGCTTTCTTTTATATTCAGCAGTGAATGAAAAAAAAGAGCTCACCCCCAAAAATCCTCCCTCAGCTGTAGTTTTTCAAAAGCTCCTTTTGGGGAATTCCTCCAGATTGGGTCCAGGCCAGCATTTGGGAACAGTCACAGCTTGGGAATGCTGTTTGCTGATCAGTTTTGGATCATGGAATATGCTGACTTGTTGATTATGATCAATGTAGGTGGAGGCGACTGAAACTGGATCAGCATTCATATCCATAATTTATGAACACATGCAGTTTGAGGCCTTCAAACAGTTTTGAAATGCTATGATTTTGTCCCTCTCTAATAAAAATCTACAATATAAAATAAAATAATAATGATAAGCAGAAAAACTGCTAACAGGGCAATAATACCTTTAGAGCATGGAACTGAGCGGCGTTTGTTTATTTAATGTGTGTTTATGACGCCTTTAGAGGGCGGCGCTGAGCGACGTTTGTTTATCTGATGTTTGTTAACGATGCCTTTAGAGGGCGGCGCTGAGCGACGTTTGTTTATCTGATGTTTGTTAATGACGCCTTTAGAGGGCGGCGCTGAGCGACGTTTGTTTGTTTGATGGTTGTTAATGACGCCTTTAGAGGGCGGCGCTGAGTGACGTTTGTTTGTTTGATGGTTGTTAATGACGCCTTTAGAGGGCGGAGCTGAGCGGCGTTCGTTTATTTGATGTTCGTTAATGACGCCTTTAGAGGGCGGCGCTGAGTGACGTTCGTTTATTTCATGGTTGTTAACGATGCCTTTAGAGGGCGGCGCTGAGCGACGTTTGTTTATCCTAAGGTTGTTAATGACGTCTTTAGATGGCGGCGCTGAGCGACGTTTGTTTATCCTAAGGTTGTTAATGACGCCTTTAGAGGGCGGCGCTGAGCCACATTTGTTTATTTGATGGTTGTTAATGACGCCTTTAGAGGCGAGCGATACCCTCTCAATCCCCCCTCCCTGGTGGTAAAGACATGCTGCAGTGGAGGTCAAAAAATCTAGATATTATATTCCGCTCCCTAGCAGTGAATATAAAAAAAGGGCTCACCCCCCCAAAAAATCCTCCAAAGTCAGTTGTTTTTCCAAAGTTCCTCCCACCTTCAAGATACATCATCGGAAGTTGGATTCAGCCTTAAAACTGGAAAATCTCACTCCAGACATACTGCAGTGCCGCTGTAGGAGGAGAGTGGACAGTTTACAGCAGATGTAACGATGGTCACACTTTTCTCTTTGGGAGGCGTTTCCCTTAAAGTGGTGATTAGTTTTAATTCTGGAGTTGTTTTTCTACCCAGTGAGTGAATAAAACTCTAAAGTCTTGCACAGATCTGGTTTAACTTCCTGTCATTAATTATTGCAAGCGCTGGGTGCAGCATTCCAGCTTTCACCGCAGATTTGTTAGTTTCTCCTAATTAGTCGCTGTTATTTACAGAGCGCGTTTAAAAGGAAGTGAGTGCGCAATAAAATCAAGTAATTCGAAACAGATATAAAGGAAAATAAAAATGAAATCAGTTAATAAATAAATGAAACAGTAAATAGAGGTAAAAGACAAAAAACAGAGGAGAAAAACAGGAGCTTAAAAAACTCAAAGGTCTGGGTTTTATTGGACTAAAAAGGTCTATTATGGGATGTTTCTATAATATAGTTCCATAAACCTGGAGCTGCAACAGAAAAGGCCACGTCACACAGACTGCTTAAAAACAACTGTTCAGAAAGTGGTTCTTTAAGCATTCTTTAAAAAAAGGCACTGGCCCTATAGGGAACCATGACAGCTGAAGAACCATCTGAAACATCTTTAAACGGTTCTTTGCATGGTTAAATGATTTTTCTCTACGAGGGATAAACTGTAATGTATGGTTCTTTAAAGACTCTTTCAGCAACAAAAAGGGTTCTACTACTGTTGCAAGTCAAAGAACCCTTTTTGGTGCTCGACAGAGGCCTTTTTCTGAGAGTACTGAGGCAGAATGGGCGGAGTTTTGTTATTCCGACCAGGATGATGTTTCGTGTTTTATTTTTCAGATTTTGTGCTATTTTACCATCTTCAGCATTACACACTGTTAGAAATAAAGGTTCTACACAGGTACATTTCTCATCCATCAAGGTACAAACAGTGTAAATGTTCCCTCAAAGGTACAACAGTGGTTTTAAGGTCCAATTGTGACCCTTAAATAAGTTTTTCCAGGTGAAAAATTCATATTTGTTTCCCCATCCTTGCTTAACATAGGATTTCAGCAGCTCAAATGTTATCAGTGGTGACAGGTCTGGACTGCAGGCAGGTCAGTTTAGCACCTGGACTCTTTTAATACGGAGCAATGCTGTTGTAATACATGCAGAATGTGGTTTGACATCGTCTTGCTGAAATAATCAAGGCCTTCCCTGAAAAAGACGTCGTCTGGATGGCTGCATATGTTGCCAAAATATGTATATATCATTCAGCATTAATGGTGCCTTCACAGATGAGCACGTCACCCATGCCATGTGCACTAATGCCCCCTATACCATCATACCATCAACTGGCTTTTGAACTGTGCACTGGTAACAAGCTGAGTGGTCTTTAGCTTGGAGGACACAGTGTCCATGATTTCCAAAATAATTTCCAATGTTGATTCGTCAGACCACAGGACACTTTTCCACTTCCCCTCAGTCCATTTTAAATGAGCTCGGGCCCAGAGAAGGTGGCAGCGTTTCTGTCCTGTTTATATTTGGTTTCTTCTTTGCATTTTAGAGTTTTAACTTGCATTTATGGATGCAGTGATGAACTGTTTTCACAGACAGTGTTTTTCAGAAGTGTTTCTGAGCCCATGCAGTGATTTCCACTACAGAATCATGTCTGTTTTTAATGCAGTGCTGCCTGAGGGACCCAAAGATTACGGCTAGCAAATACTGGTGTTTGGCCTTGTACCCCTTATACCCAATCATGTTACTGACCTGTTGTCAATTAACCACCAGGTGCTTTTTTTTAGCATTACACAACTTTACCAGCCTTTTGTTGCCCCCTGTCCCAACTTTTTTAGAACGTGTTGTTGGCATCAAATTCAAAATGGGCAAATATTTCTCAGTTTCAACATTTGATATGTTGTCTTTATACTATTTTCAATTAAATATATGGTTAAAATGGTTTGCACATCATTGCATTTTGTTTTATTTACATTTTGCACAGCATCCCAACTTGGAAATGGGGCTGTGTGTGTGTGTATATGTATATATATATATATATATATATGCATACACTGTGTGCCTCATAAAGTGTAAATTTAACTAGATGTACATCTAAGCATAAAGTTCTCAGCAGTCTCCTCCTCTTCTAGAAAGTGCATACTAAGCAAACGTTCAAAGCGTAGACAACAAAGATTTATCAAAGACAACCTCACTTTCTGCCACATCTCATACCTGCCGGTGCAAAACTGCCAATTGGAAAATTTCTGGGTGTTTCTCTGCTTACTGTACTCCTCTCACTCAAAGACGAGAAACTGTAAAACAGCCACGTGTTATAACCGGTGGTGCGGGAGCGGGTTCAGGCGAAAGCAGACGCTAATTATGCAGAGCGAGAGTGGAGCAGCGATAATAAGCAGGCATTTGGTTTTATTAGAGGTGAAGGAACAAAGGGGAATTCCTCTAGATTGAGTCCAGGCCAGCGTTTGGGAACAGTCACAGCTTGGGAATGCTGTTTGCTGATCAGTTTTGGATTATGGAATATGTTGACTTGTTGATTATGATCGATGTGGATGGAGGCGACTGAAACTGGATCAGCATTCATATCCATAATGTATGAACACATGCAGTTTGAGGCCTTCAAACAGTTTTGAAATGATATGATTTTGTTCCTCTCCAATAAAAATGTACAATATAAAATAAAATAATAATTAGCAGAAAAAACTGCTAACAGGGGCAATAATACCTTTAGAGCATGGAACTGAGCAGCGCTTGTTTGTTTGATGTTTGTGTGATTATTTGGTGGTTGGTAATGATGCCTTTAGAGGGCGGCGGTGAGTGACGTTTGTTTAGTCGATGTTTGTTAATGACACCTTTAGAGGGCGGCGGTGAGTGATGTTTGTTTAGTTGATGTTTGTTAATGACACCTTTAGAGGGCGGTGGTGAGCGACGTTTGTTTAGTTGATGTTTGTTAATGACACCTTTAGAGGGGGGAATATATTTAATACTTGGCTGCAGAACATGAACATGAAAATCTATGAAATTGTAGCTCTCATACCGCTACGTTATGTTTTGTTTCGAGGGGAACTGGAGATTCCTGCTTCACTGTTGCTTTTGTTAGTTTGCTGCTCACTGATTTATCCATAGTTCTACCACAAGCACTGTCCATCTCAGTCGGAATTACTGATATTGCTGCATCAGCGCTGTGTTTTACTTACTTAAGACTCAACGTTCTTCGCTGATAAACAAATTCATGATTCCAGAAGCTTGAAATAACTTCTGTTTTTATCAAGAGAGCCATCAATGCAACTTCTTGCTGTTTAACAGTGTTGGAACTACCGATAGTCCAAAGGGTCAAACTAGGAAAATACGTTAACAGCGTTAATTGTAATTGATTGTGCTGGCGCCACTATGAACACAATACACATTTGTGTGTGAATCTTGTCCAACGAGTGGCTGAAAGTGAACCAAACGTTACAAAGGCCTCTTGCAACCGTCTGCTTTTGACAAATGAAAATAGCAACCAAATGTAAACAGTGATCAGCCGCTCCTAAACTGAAAGATGTTCCAGCGCCTGCTGCTTGTTTTGATGCTTGTACAACACTCTCACGCCCTGTACAGCGGTTCAGCAGAATACAGCGGGAGGGTGAATGCCTGAAGCATCAACCGCTGTCGCTCACTGCGTCTGCCTCGTGTGCAAACCTGCACCAGGCCAGCCTTTCAGCCAGGTATGCATGATAAACACACCCTGTTTGTCCCGGCTGAAGACTTTCACCTCCATCCAGACGCCGCCGCTGCTCCACGAGACGCCTTCACATCACAGAACCATGGAGACGCAGGTAGAGCTCTGGAGACGTTCTCTCTCTCTTTATATCTCATATCGTCTTCTTCAGCAGCAGCAGTAGCCATAATCTCCGCTGTGTAGTCTTTAGAACATTCTCAGGTTCCTTATTGTCGTTTAAGAGCTTTAGCTTTGAGTAATGATGAGGAAACAAAGAGGGCATTCAGAATCCGGCGAGTGGAGAGTCAAATGGACATGAATATGCATTACAGTAACATTCCAACAAGGGAAAAGAAATCTAAAAAAGAAAAAATCTTTGTGGCTAACTTCAATGCTAATATACAGAGCTATGCAAAAGTTTGAGCACCCCTGCTCAGATTACATGTCTTGCTGATTTTCATACCTTCACATTTACTACTGAGAACAAACTTTCCAAACATGGCATTTTTCTGCAAACTTTAATGCACATTATGTATTTATTCCTGAAATGAAGATACTGAAAAAAAAATTAATCAAATAAAAAGGGTGCTATAACTTTTGCACACCACATTTTATGTCTTATTTTTCCCCCCAATATGTTAAATTCAGCAAAAAAAGTAATTGTGCATTAAAATAGGCAAAAGTGTGCCCTCTATAGTAGATAGTTTAACTTATTCTCACTTAGAAAATTAAAAAGAAAGTAATTTGACCAGGGGCGCACAAACTTTTGCATACATCTGTATGTAAATGGCCTGCAAGAAAACTATATTTATTTTTTTGTTTTTATCTAGACATGTAATGTTTCACATACTACTACTACTACTACTACTACTACTAATAATAATAATAATGTTTTTGTTGTTATTATTATGCTAATGTTTATGTAGAACACCAGTACGAAAATTCTAGCTATTTGCAGTAACATTAAAATTAATACTTTTTCTTTCTTTTATATATATGTTATTGTAATGTAGAATTATATGTCAGGCTTTAAAATAATACAAAAGCTGTACTATTATTATTGTTGTTATTATTATTATTATTACTATTATTTAGTTATATAATTACAGTTTAGCGTTAAATACATAGACATATAAACATCTAACAAACAAACAGTTTAGACTGTGAACCTGCCAGTAAAGCAAAATCCAGTTCCTAAAGGGTTCTTGACGAAGTTCTGAGGTTCTAGATGCAACTAATTTAACATGAATAATATTTTTATCCAGACATGAATGAGACAAGTCTGTAAGTTAAGGTGATACAGCATAAAAGTTCAGTTAGCCTTTTTGGATTTGGTTCATTACTAATCGAGCCTTTCCTTAACCAACAGAACATCCATGTTGTTAGCGTGTTCTGCGTGCTAACAGACAGGACTGCTGCGATGATGAGCCAAACAACTTCAAATATTTCTCATATAATTTCGTCTGTATTCAGATATGAAAAGACTACTTCATATGCTGCCACTAGCACAGCTGAGAAGAAAGCACTGGGATTATTTTCCTCAGAGATGTGCTCAAATATGGAGTTAGCCATGTTAGCACTAGCACAACGTCAGTATTTGTGTGTTTGTCTTCATATGAAATTATCAAACCTGTTTTTTACAACATCTGATCTTTCAGAATACAGATTGAGAGTCACACCTTCCACTAATCTACAATATTTTTGGATTAAAGTCTAATTACAGAACGTAGCAGTTAGCAAAGTTGTTAGCGTGTTTACCAAACCTCACTATAAATACCTTAAAACTAGTAATAAAACATGAATAGATAGATAATAGAAGCATCTAAGGTGCACAATATAAGCATATTGTTGCTACAGTCTCTTGGTGAGGCTCTCCTGCTGCTAATCTGAGACTGAAAATGTAAAAACAAGAGAAAAAGCCCTGATTAATTACTCTGTCTGTGAGCGTTTTGAGCATTTTTGACTCAAAATAGATAAAAACACAATTAGCTTTAAACTCACAGTGCTTTATAAGTCAAGTAATCCAACCAGGGAAAAAAAAAGTCTAAAATAATATAAGATTTAATGCCTCGCTATGAGATCATTTCATTTGCTAATGTTTTATTTTATTGCAGTGTGACAGATATTGCAGAAAGCATGTTTACTACTGCTTGTCTTAAGCATGAAATATCCTTCACCGCTGCTGTGTTTAAGTGCCGCTATCAGCACCAATATTGATACGATTGATAAGGTATAACAGAACGTAGCAGTTAGCACCGTTGTTAGCGTGCCTACCGAGCCTGAGAGGCTGGTCACAGTTAAACGGCTCAACCTGGAGCAGGAATGTAACGAGCGCTTTCCCACAGACCGACAGAACTCGGTTGCATGTTTTTTAAGGAAAATATAAAAAGCCAGAGGTCTCTGGAAATGGCTTGTGGTGGAAACCAAACATGTTTGTCCTACTTTCTTTGGAGCTTTCAGCTATTTTCCAGGGCTGATCCTGGCAGCCGCAGCGTGCAGTTTTTGGAGAGTAAAAATGGAGTTTTCTTTCTGACTCTGCGTTCCTGTGAAACGGGCACTGGTGGATGTTTTCTGGTTGGATGGGGATCCGAGGTTAGGCTGGTGTCACTCAGTCAGAGCCAATCAGGAGCTTGTAAATAGACTTAGCGAGTGTGGACTTGTGGGCTTCACGGCAGCTCTGATGAAGCTTATTATGGCTGTTTTTTTGGTTTTGGTGGGAGTTTGTGACATGCCCAAGTCCAGGCTTGGGGGGGTGGGGTGGTATATCTTTATATTGTTGGGGCAAAGCAATCAGTTCCAGGTCAGTGGGCGCTGCCGCCCCTTCCAGATGAGCAACCTGCACTTTATATACATGGATATAAAGCGCCTCCTTGTACAGTCATTACTGCACTGCATCTCTCAGGTTATAGATCTTATTGTAGATTTTTGTATATTTCTAGTTGTCTATACGCCTGTAGGTTTTTTTTGTATATATTGTTTCACCCTTATTATAACTGTACTGTGTTGTGTGACGAATACTGACTGCTAAATTTCCTTCAGGTATCTATCTATCTATCTATCTATCTATCTATCTATCTGTCTATCTATCTATCTATCTATGTTATTCCTGCTAATTATGGCCCGTTTACAGGAGCAGGTTGGGATATATAGCATACGATGTTTAAAATATGACATAGTGTTTATATAAAAGTGGTCAAAAATAGCTATTAAATAACTATTGTGTATAGATAAGTGTTTCATACGGTGTCAGAAACCACATGATTAAGTGGATTAGAGATTACTGAACAACTCCACATGGTTTGAGGTGAGGCAGGCAGTTAGCACCATGCTAATTGGTGGAGTATTAGCTAGTATCTGCTGACACTAGCCACGTTTACATGCAGCCTAATAATCCGTTAATAATCAGACTAATAGCTCAATCAGAATAGAATGCGTCCGATTGAGGCCATTTGGAATACAATGTCTATCCGATTGATCGAGGTGGATAATCCTGTAAATAATCCGTTAAATAGAAGAATTATATCCGTGTAAACGCCTGTATCTGATTACATTCCCTATCGGAAGGTTTAAGTCCGTTCTGATCATGTTCGTCACGTCATAGTGAAAGTTTATACCGTTCAACATGGCGGAGCAGAAACTGGTCTGCAGAGGAGACGAAGTTTATGCTCTGGTCTTTAAAAGACGGCGGTGGGACGGACGTCCAGCTTATGTGTCTCAGAACACGACGTCTTCCTCTCGGCCTTCTTTAATAAGGACATGTGAAGGACGTTTTCCTGAGTCTGACATCATTTTAAAGTCATTAAAAACACAAGCACTGCTCACTGCTGCTCATCTCACTCTGACCGGACTCACGTGATGCTGGCTGTCATAGTAATGTTTACTCTAAGTGGTTTTCCACACAGGCATGTCATTTTTTCGATCGGATTACTTGTAGTGAGCATGTAAACAAAGATTTTCCATCAGATTGTTTAATAGAGACTTAAGTCTTAATCTGTTATCGGAATGTGTTCAGTCGGATTGGCACAAATCTTTGCATGTAAACACAGACACTGAGTACTGAAACTAACTCTATCTAAGCTAACTAGCCTATGAATACTGATATTTATACAATTCCGCTTTTAAACATCTTATTTTGGTAAAAGCAGTGTTTCATGTCACAAATAAACATGCTAGGCTTGAATGAATGATATTTACTTTCAGATTTGAATGGTTTGATTGCCACAGAACATGGCTATGCTCTTTGGCCTGATTTGTCTTTAATTGCTTAATCAAATCTGATGTACTGAAATTCTTGCTGGTCACGCCTCCCTCAAAAATACAGCACCACTGCAACAAAGTCATTCACAGAAACTAGAAAAAACCTACTGAAAATGAGAAATGATTATATTAACCCCCCAAAATCTTGGCTTATTACATCCTAAGGCTTATAATTCAGTAACTACAGGGACTTCAGTGCAAACTGGCTGAGCTGTTCTTAGGTTACAGAAGTGTGTAATAAACCTTTGGGCCTGTCGGTGGGCCTTGGATATTTCAGGGGTTTAGTAAAACAATCTACCAGTGGGGTAAGCAATGTTTACCTAGTAAGATTTCTTGAAATAAGTCATAATATCTCATTCCTCACTGTAAATACCTTAAAACTAGTAATAAAATATGAATAGATAGATGATAGAAGCATCTAAGGTGCACAAGATAAGCATATTTTTGGTCCAGTCTCTTGGTGAGAGTGTATTGCTGCTAATCTGAGGCTCAAAATGTAAAAACAAGAGAAAAAGCCCTGATTAATTACTCTCTTTGTGCGTGTTTTGAGCATTTTTGACTTAACTCTTTAATGTCCGTACCAAGAAAAAAGCAATGGATTTTTTCTGTAATTTTTATTTGTTTGGGGCAATAATAAAAACAATTGGTGGTTTGTTTTTTTTTTCGTTTTTTTGACCCCACAACTTTAACAATATTCACGTCTACCAAACGAGGAGTTGGCACTTTGTGGCATATATAGTGCCTCAAAATGTGCTCTACCAAATGGTTTAAAGGGTTAAAATAGATAAAAACACAATTAGCCTTACCCTCACAGTGCTTTATAAGTCAAGTAATCCAACCAGGAAAAAAGTCATAAATAAA